TGCTTGCCTTTTCGAATCCTCTTATTTTTGTTGTTTATTCCCGAGTTTATTCCAGTACGCCAAAGTCCTCTCTGATTTCCAGGAACTTCGTATGAACATCTTAACTTTTGAGATACAGGGTGATAAAGGTTTCAAAAAAAATCATTTATGTTAGATGGACGAACACAGGCTAAAGAAGAAGAAAAAGAAGATTTATCATTGGTCTTTTTACCATTTTGTATGACCATAAATTTAACTTTTGGTTAAGTCCCCAACTTTTTCCACAAGGCTTTCTGCATCTCTTCAAGGAAATTTTTGCCTTCCTGCTTACTGAGCAGGTGTGGACCCCAAATCATCTTTTGGTCAAAGAGAACTCCTAGATATTTGATCTTTTTTAAGAAAGGGATTTACGCTCCGGTAAGCTTAGGACATCCAAGTCCTCTTAGTGCTCTTTTCTTTGTAAATGGGACAATAATGGTTCTCTACGGATTAACCCACCAACACCAGTTACCTACTATGTCCAGTGCTTTCTGAGTTCTTTTTGAGACATGTTCTGGATGCTTGCCTCTGAATACCAGGAATATATCGTCCGCATGACCAAGGCAGTTAAATCTCTCTTTGGCCATTTCTGCCAGGAGATCGTCGACCAGGACCGCCCACTATAATGTCGATAAAATGCCTCCTTGTGGGCAACAAGAACTCATGTCCTAATCTCAGTAGAACATCATCGTAAATTTGAGGTTATTGTTAGATGACTTTCATACTTGGACTACAAGAACTCGTGTCCAAATTTCAATCAACTTTAATAAGACTATTGACAAGATTCTTGTTCTTTAAACTATTTTCCAATGGAATTGTTGAAAAATCAAAAACGAATTCGTTGTGCTGGTATAATTATGGCAAGATATACTAAATCTATGTACTTTGCTCTAATACACCTCGCAAATTATAATGCATGAAGTGCAAATTTTCCCATAGTAATAAACTTCGCAGAGGTATTTTCAATTTTCCAAGGAAGGTGCAAGCTAATAAATACCAATAAAGTTCCCGGCATCAAAGTGGAACGAAACAATCCGAAATCACGCCACCATCAAAACCGTGAGCTACTCCCATAATAACAATTAAAAAAAAAAAGGAAGAAGAAAAAGAATCGCGCCCGTCCAAATAATAAATTCATTTCCTGAAGACCGCATATCATAACGGCATACTTTGTTACTGAAATACGGCCGCCGGTCACGCGACACTCGGACTCAGATCGTGTTCGTGATCCTCGTTCTCTTTTATTAAGTTCGGGTCGGTATCTTTTTCTTATTTATTTTTGTTTGTGGATTTCAGGGAAGTTTCTATTCGACTACTGTTTTGCATTTTGGACGATTTATTGCAAGAAATTGCGAGACCTGGAACATTCCACACGCTACATTCAAACAACTAAATCATAAACAACATTATTGCCCCTGCATACGTGGCATTTGATGAGATTCAGGCGGCCATGGGAATTTTTAATACCAAAGCTCTACGTACAGTGAATATAAACAATGTGTTTAGGTGAGATGCAATATTTGTTTTGTTTGTGTTTATATAACCAATAATTATAAAAACTCGTTCCATTTCCATTAATCGATTCCACCCAACTCAAACCCCAATATCATAAAAAAACACGCTGCTTATCTGCATATGTCAACATACATATGAAACCGATACGCCGAAATATTTTCATATTTGCGCCATTGTAACTCGGGGAGACCTCAATATCGAAGGACCTGAAAATTCATATTCCGCACGCTGATTCTGAAGTATCCTCTCCAAAAGCCGGTATGTTGTTCCGAACAGGGAGACCTCTCTTCTCCTATTGCGATTGGTTATCAAACCGTCTGTCAATTGCACGAATACGTTAATAACCTGATGAAGCTATTCATAGGTACTTTGAAAAAATTGATATTTGAATGAAAAATGTTCTAGTTTTCAAAGAAAATTAATATGTGTTTGTTGGGCTCCGAGCATATTTGATTTGAGTTGGTCGACTTTTTGGGAAATATATACTTTTTTTTGTAAAGGAAACAACAGAGATGTTAAGATGCCTTGATATGACTCAATATAAGTCACAATACACTCAAAACATCTTTGAAGTATTTGTGAAAATTGAATAAAAGTTCTGACCACAAAAACGAAAAAACCAACTGCCAAAAAATAAGCTTCTGTAAAAACCGGTCGTGATTACTGCATACAATAATTCTAAAAACTCCAAATCTCTCCGATTTCAATCCAGATGTAAGTGTGTTATTGATTCATCATCGTTCGGTGCCACACGGCGAAATGGAATTATTATTTTCTTAATGAATACACGGCTCCGTCTCTAATTGATACGGAACGGCATAAATCATCGGAAAGTTTTGGAATCACATATACGCGTTGCGCTAATTATGATCGAAAAGCATGTCGGAGATGAGATAACTTTTGCATCTCTATCTCCTGGATAATGGGGTTTGGATTGCAGATGAGCGCCACAATGTAATCTATTTTGCTTGCAATCGAAATATTGACGCATTTTTTCATTGAAATGTCAAAGCTTCACATACAAATTTTTCGCGGAAACGTTCATTTCTAGGACTAGTGTCCCTTTTATTATCCTGTTCGTTGCTTTGCCAGAATATGAGAGAAAGAGACGTAAAAATTTGCTGAATGGGTAGATTGCAAAAATGATGAATGGCACGTCCACCGGCAAATAACAACTACGCCATAATACATTCCCAGAAACGGGAACAGTTGTGAAATTTATCCTCCTTTGAGTTTTTGTAAATAATGGCCAATCTCATATTGCCTATTTTGTTACTAAAAGCAATTTATATTCATTTCGTGTTATTGTGTAAATTTATTGCTTCATTAAGTAGATTCCCCGGTACTAAGTAGACCATCATAAGATAACAAAAACTACTTACTTATTATTAATCCCCAGCACTCTCTTGGTCTTCCATTAACCGCAGAAGAATACACCATTATTTTAACAACAGTCATTAAATGTATAAATCCTTATTCAGAAGTCAAAACCATAACGATTTAAAATTATTTACAATTATAGGCAAAGATGTTTATCTATAGTGTTTTGCTTTAGGCGTGCTCTTTCTTCCTTGATGTAATTTCAGCAGTGAATTAATGATAAATAGAAATTAAATGCCAATAAGAAATTTTCGTTTATTTGTGTCTTTTTCGTTGGCCGAAACGAAACATTCATCATTTTTGTAATGTGATCATTCAGCAGTTTCCATGAAAAACGTCAGCCGAGAAATGTAAACGGCTAGCAAGAATAAGACTTGTGAGAATAGTGCTTACTTGAGGATTTAGTTTTTTGTTATTTTGATTATTTGCTGCAGTAGGCATTTAAGTAAAATTTTCTCATAATCAGAATGAGGCTTGAGTTCTAAGTACAAAACAATCTATTTTGAAAACAAAAACACTAATTGCATAATTTCCCTACTTTAGGTAAATGTTAAGTCAATCTGCATTTATGGGCTCACTTAGTTGATTGCGTTTGTCTCATTAAGAAACATTGCTATGTAGTAAGAGACCTGACAACATCCAGACCCTGTACAGGTTGTTTTTCTAATCGAATCTCAATATTCAAGGTGTCGATTTTGAGATACAGTGTGATAAAGATTTTTGGTTTCATCCGATTCATGATATAAAAGGGTAAAAGAGGTCGTGAATTTAATGTTGCTTTAACCTGAATAAGCCACGTTGTGAATTCTTCATAAGTTAGAATAGTCTACCCAATCACTCTATAAATGTGAAACTTTACTTCCTTAACGTTACTTTCCCACAGGCCCCCCCTTTTTTTTTGTTATGGCTAAATGGCTATATTTTTGTGTTTAGGAAAAGTAATTAGTACTTTATGTTCCCACATTTTTGGTAGTACGTATTCTGGAGTCCCAGGTCCTGATAGGGTGATTGGTGATCCCTGATGTCTGGATCATCTTTGTGGGTTTTTTTCGTGGCTCCCTTGGTATTGTTTTCCTGTGTCAAGGATGGCCATTAGCGGAGGGCGTTCAGTTGTCTATGCAGGTCTGCTAGCTGCTAAGTAATTTCTTCAATGCTGATTATCCCAGCGGAATGTCGTTCTGGAAGCGGTTTTGGCACTGGCTTTCCTGGCGTGCTTGGGGTGTTTCTTGCATCCCTGTGTCCTTATGGTAGGAAGCTGGGTGGGATCGCCGCAGTTAGTAGAAGTGGCTGCGATATCCTTGGTTTTGGTGTATGCTGTGGACGGGTGGTCGCCTGTACATTTGACACATTTGTGAGGGTTTGCATCTTGACTGAGAGTGTCCATGTAATTGGCATTGTGTGGAGCGCTGGTTTGTTTTTGCGTTTCCATTCTGACTTTTACGTGGTTGATCATCTTCACTTGGTAGATACTGGTTTCAGCTATCGGTACTATCACTAGTACTAAAGGCACTGGCTCGCCCTTGGCATTGTATCAACGGATCACGGCCGATGGGCGGAACTTCAACTCTTCTAGTTCGGTTTTTACGCAGTCGGTCGTTCATTGTTCGAGGGGTCCTCGGATCACGAACCTTAGTTTCTTCTCCTCCGGGAAGGAGAAGGTGTGGAAGGGTTCTTGTGTTTCTTCTAGGTAGGATTGTATCTTCCTGTAGTCGTCACTTGACTTTGAGTGAATTTCGATACGTTCATTGGTGTTTGTAGTAGGTCCGAAATTAATTTTCTGCGTCTTGAGGTGGTCTACGATGTCATTATACCTAGATTTGTTCCTAAGTACAATAGGAGGTATTCTTTCAGTTTTAGCCTTCGGGGCTGGGCACTGGGTCCGGCAGTATTTGTTTGGGCTGTGTGCACTATCACTGGGGCGGGTTTCTTGTAGGCTGGCATTCCGCTGTTATTGCCGCTGTTGGAGGATTTCTTCCTGCGCCATCGGGATTTGAAGGGCTGGAAGTCGTCAATGTCGGACTCTGATTCACTCGTTGCGGTGTCCTCGTCGAAGCTGGCGTTTGTTTCCATTGCAATGGTGGCGGACTTCAGCTACTCGTTTTCCTTTCGCAGGTTGTTGACTGTATAACAAGTGAGTTGTTGTGGTTTCGAACTTCTTTCAGAATGGCTGAGGTTGCTTGAAGTTCGGCGTCGATCTGTTTATTGGCTTGTCGAAGTGCATCCATTTGTTTTGTGATCTCCTTCTTCCAATCTTCTGTTATTTGGTGGTCCATCTTGAAAAACACTGTCTTCGCGACTGTCACCAACGAATTCACTTTCGAGGGCTGAATTTGGCTTTGAGAAATGGACTAGTCCATTCCCTTCGGCGCAAAAAGACTGACTTGGCTAGAATTGAGATCTCTCTTCGCTTGGCTGATGCTTTCACTTTGAGAGCTCGACTCAGAATGCCCACAGGCCCCCAAAATTGGGACTGTTATAGGGGGGATGAAATGTTACACAATACCTTCATTTGCGCAAGCGCTTATCCTGTCAACATCTCAAATGATCGTACAATACTCTAAGAGAACTTTGTGCACCTATAAAGTTCGTACCATTATCAGAATACACATGAGCAGGCTTCCCACGTCTTGAAGCAAATCTACGTAAGCCAGCTAAATTGTGAAACATTTACACGATGCTTACGTAATTTTGCCATAATAGAGGTAGCTGGTTTTGGCTTATACCGGTAACATCTAACACAATTTCTGTAAATTAATTTTGGACATTTCAGAAATAACGCAAAAATTCTGACGGACCGTAGCTAATAAGAGTTGGAGTCCAGTATGCTGGAGTTTTTCAATTATGTATTTTATCTAAGAAAAGAGGATGCTTCTTATAACTTATAGTTGGGAGACGAATTTTTCAAACGATTATCTACTCTGAGTAGTCCGTCCTCATCTAAAAAATGGTGTTAATGACAATAGGCGATTATTGGATGGCAGAGCCTTTTAAGCCTTCAAACTTGAAATTTCATTGGGAGAACTCTCCTGAAGAATACATTTTCTCTGGTCTTTAGGGACTACAACTTTCCAATCATCTGAAGGAGAAGACAATTCAGGAATGGAAGGTTTCACAAATTTATAAAGATTGCCATTTTGAGTACGCCATAGAGAAAACTTTAGGGGTTTGTCTTCGACCTTTCGGAGCATTCCCAAAAACCATTTGTCACTTGTTGATGTAGGGGTCTAAGATGGAGGAGTAAAATTGTAAACAGAATTAACAGCCATAGGTACCGCTCGAGAAAGAAAATCGGGAACTATATGATCTTCGCCTTTCCGGTGGATAACTTCAAAATTGAACTGTTGGAGACGTAATTGCCAACGTGCAAGACGACCTTGTGGATCCTTTAAACGATGAAGCCATAACAAGGATGCGTGCATGATCAGTGATAACGATAACATGGATGTGATTTAAATAGTGACGCAACTTCTCAACAGCCCAAATGACAGCAAGACATTCCTTCTCTGTGACAGTCAGTTTCATCTCTTACCTGATTAAAGATGTTGACAGATAGCAAACAACCTTTTCACCCTCCTCGTGTTGAGTTAAAACAGCCCCCAGCCCATAGTTAGAGGCATCGGTTTGTAAATAAAACATCCTGTCGAAATCAGGTGCAGCTAGAATTGGAGCAGTGACTAAACATTCTTTGAGTAATGTAAAAGATTTCTGGCAATCTGGAGTCAAGGTGAATTTAACGTTCTTTTTAGTTAAATTAGGAATGGGTGCTAACACCGAAGAAAATTCTGGGACAAAAAGCCAGGAAGCAGTTCCCACAAATCTGCGACTTCATTGATGTTTTTCGGTGGTGGAATGTTGACTATAGCCTCAACTTTTTCTGGATCAGGGCGTAACCCTTTTTTATCAACCAGATAGCTCAGGTATTTTAGTTCTGGCTTGCAGAAGTGACCTTTCTTTAACGAAATAATAAGTCCGGCCTGACGCAAGTGGTCGAATACAACCTCCAAAAGTCGCAAATGTTCTGAAAAGGAGTTAGAAATTATCACCACGTCATCAATGTAGCACATGACATTTGGACCACGGATAGTGTCAATGATTTTTTTCCAGGTTGCAGGAGCATTGGATAAGCCAAATGGCATCCGACAGAATTGAAAGAGTCCTCTGCCAGGGACAGTAAATGCAGTGTACTCTTTGGAAGATGTACTCAAAGGGACTTGCCAAAATGCTTACTCAAAATCGATGGAACTGATATATCGAGTCTCCCTTAACCGATCTTAAATGGTTGAAATATATGAAAGAGGATATGCGTCCTTTTTTGTATATTTATTAATCTGTCTAAAATCGATGCAAAATCTGAAGGATCCATTCTTTTTCCGAGCAAGGCACACAGGACTGGAGCAAGGACTACTAGAACATTTCTAATTACCCCATGGTGAGGTAAAAAATAGGATAGTTCATCAGCATTCAAATTGGTACAAGAAGACATATGTCCCAAATCAATATAGGTACTCATCCATAAAATCAAAATAACTATTTTTAAATTCGGGGTTCCTTTGAAATCTTTGCTCGAGATTCAATAATCTTTTTTCAGCTGATGGTTTTGAATCTCCTATTTCCGAAACTGAGAACTTCTAAGGAATTCGAACAACAAACTGTCCATTATCTGCTCTGGAAACTGTATCTTTGGAAAATTGTCCACAAAATTCATCCTCTTTGGATTCTAGCTGAAATCCTATTGGTTCTTCAACAGACCAAAATTTTTGCTGAACGAACTTGGGTATGTTATACTACAGTAGGCACCTAGGACATGTCTCAGAAAGAACTCAAAAAGCACTGGACATAGTAAGTAACTGGTGCTGATTGGTTAATCCATAGGGAACCATTATTGCCCCATTCACAAAGAAAAAAGCACTGAGAGGACTCGGATGTTCGAAGCTTAACGGAGTGAAAACTGGCCCCTTCTCAAAAGAGGTCAAATATCTAGGAGTCATCTCTGACCAAAAGATGATTTGGGGTCCACACCTCAACAAAGTTGTTCAGAAGACTAAAATTTCCTCGAGGAGATGCAGAAGGCTTTGTGAAAAAAGCTGGGAACTTACCCCAAAGTTGAATCTATGGTTATACAAAATGGTAATAAGACCAATGGTCCGGTTACAAGGTCATACAAACCGTAGCATTCAGACAGGTCCAAATTATGCAAAGGAAAACCGCCCTGGAGATGCTGCTAAATCTGCCGCCACTACATATCCACATACAGGGTGAAGTACAGGCGGTACTCTTTAGACTGAAGCAAGGTCAGGTAATTCAATTATGAGCTCTGGCAGTCGACGTTATATACGGAAGTCATCTGACAATAACATGAAATTTACGATGATGTGGCACAGATACGGTTAATTAGAAACAAACTCTCTATACCACCTCCTAATGGCAAAAGAAAACCACTTATTAAACTACAAAAACCCAAAACAATAGATTCTTTCCTGGTAATTGCCAATCATCAACAATTTATGTCAACGTTTCAAGTCTATATCCATCGCCATTTTCGCCAGTTTAAACCGTCACATTTCATTCAGTGAAACATAAAAGTTACTTACAATATGGTTTCTGGAAACTATTAAGTTATATACTAGCGTTTCATTGGCGGTACGTGACAACAGTGTGAATGGTCGGTTTAAGCTGTATTTTATATTTTTATCGTTCCTTATGGCCCTTTGTCTATGTATGACCAATTACCTATTTTATTGCTATAAGCATATAAGAAATTCTTGAAGTTATTGGTAAAAATATATACAGGTAATTTGTTTCGACAAAAAGTTATAACTTACGTCGTACCTTTCCCCAGATGCAAGAAAGTCTTTACATCTCTAGTGAATAATGGCTTCGGAAATGCATCTGTTTATTTGAAAACACGTCTATTTTGGATATAACGTTACTTTCGAGCCGCGCCGTTTGATTTGACAGCGATTTTTAAATCGGGTAAATATTTGGACTGGAACCGACACATTGTTTTTCGTTTACATTGGCATCATGAGCGTATATGACAACTTTATTTTATGGCCCGTCGTGTGTATGTTTTATATGCAGTAGCTTTATTTGCTCTATAAGCTTTATACGTGTCTATACAGTCTATTTTCTTATTTGATTTGAGTTTTATAGATAAATCAAATGTATTTGGCTCAAATTGAAATTAATAAAGTCGCTTTAATGAAGATACATATAAAGACAAATATGTCAAGCCATAAATTTGTAGTCACCCCCCAGGCAGGAATCCCTTGGGAAGTGCAGCCCTCGAACTACTAATCACAATTAATTAAACCGGAACTAAAACACTAATTATTATCGGGCGATCAAACCCCTCTCTACTTGAAGCGCACACGCGGTGTCACACTCCCCTTTGTCCCAATTATAGTTTCGCAGGTAACAAATGTTTCGTTAGATTAATGGTTAATGAACTATTTTTGGTTGGGAAACTTTTGGGAGAAAATGTCCCAAAGCTATTAGGGACATTAGGAACTTGGAACATGGAAAAGTAAGGTTATTTTTCACTTGTTGAAAGAGTTTTTATTGCCTGGAAATACTATAAATTGCTGATCAGGATGGTACAGTTGGAAGAACATAGGTAAAGAGTTTTGATTTGATTTGGAAGGGGAGCCTTTACTGGAGGCATTTAGCCCGTTGTCCTGCTATCCCCTTCGTGGTGCAGCCCTGTCTTACCTTACGAGCCTCCAACTGTATATCAAAAACTCATTAAAACTAGATCACGATTCATCAACAATTAGCAGTTTAAGCAGGTCAACGCGTAAAGTAATGTTTACACAAAATGGATATAAAAACCGATGCAGCCCATGGTATCGGTACCCATTCAGGTCCTCTCCTCAGGGTCTCCTTACCCAAGGGAGCAATAGCTACACTTCTCTTCAGGGTCGCCTGACCATAGGGAATCTTGGAGCAATTTTCTTCAGGGTCGACCTACCACAGAGTCTTGCGCTTCAGGGCATCGCCCCCTATACATGCGAGAACCAGTTGTATCCCCGTATATGTACATAGAGCCTCGAACGTGAGAATCATGTGGCGCACCTACATAGTGCCCCTTTGGTGATATACTCACTAGCACACAATATACGTGAAGCTCCTTTTTGTAGTTGTGGTGTGTATTCCTGGAGAGCAACCCCTAACCTGAAGTCCTACCCACATTAGCCGCGAGACATGTGACATATGGTGGAGGCGCCGTTCGAAGAACTTGTAATGCTGAATTTCCCTATTTAGCATCAAAGTA